GGCCGAATGTGACATGATTTTAAATTTCTCGGTTTTTATAATTTTGTGTCTGTGAAACGGGTCTGTTATTACATTGGCCTAAATTTATTGGGAGTGGCTTAACTGCATCTGTTGGGTGAAGAGATTATAGTGAAATTATAATATAAATTATTTTCCTTATTTTGAGTTGTTCCCTCAAATTTGATTATGTAATATCTCACTCGCGTAATATAATAAGATTTGTATGTTGCTATAAAAAAACGCCCTGTCACTATCCAGAAGTAAGCCACTGACCACAAATTTAAGCTATGCAAAAGTTTCGTTAAACAAAATCTTGTTTTGAACATATATCGTGTTCCAGACATAAAGGTATACGCAAACCTACGCGGTCGCGGTAGCGGTGGCGAACGTAAGGCCGCACACTAGGGCGTTCAATCCGCGAGATCACATGTTTTTTTACGCACACTACCAATTGATGAAATATGGCATTTGAAGTACGGGATAGATTTGTTTCTTTTTTTTAATGCCTAACAATGTACTAAAACTATAAACAAATACACTTATCTTCACCAGGTTTGTCCAGTATCATGGCCAATTCATCCCATACGTTATCTTTCTTTTTTATATTTTTATACTCCTTACATGTAACTTCGTATAAAATTGGATTTCCTCTCACTAACTCAATTAGTTGTTCTGTCATTTTCTTTCGAGACATGCAGCGCAAACTGGCGGACCAACTGTGAGTGCAGCTGTCGCTCGCCACCGCTCTAGATTGCCGCGTTTGTTCGCTGCACTGATCTCCACCGCCACCGCTTGAACGCTTCAGTATGCATTGCCTGTATAAAATGTGTGCATTCTATTGCCCGCCACCGCCACCGCGTAGGTTTGCGTAAGCCTTACTGCTCACCTGTGTTCACATGTGTATTCAACCGGCAGAAACCTTTATGGTCTAAATAGTGGCAACTTGTAAGTAAATATAGGGCATTGACTAATTTATACCCGAGCTAATACCGTCCCACAGACAGCTACTTCAAACATAATAACGTCAGTAAAATTTACTATTGATATAAGTAACAGGTGTCGCCGCGATACAATTATTCTTTTAGAAACCACTGCTAAAGTTGCCCAATGCAACAGAGAACCTAATTTTTTCAATTGTTAAAGTATTTAAATGGAATTTTGTATGTGGGCACCTCGAATAAAAGTAATTAGTAATGCTCATTAAAAAATTGGGTTTGCGTTACGGAATCTAATTTTTTTAATTTGTAGAATTTAGATGGTTGTCAGATAACATTAAGCACTTGTTAAGGTTTCCTTAATAGTCACAACGCGTGGTGAATTGTGATAAGAGCCACGACACAAATATTGTGATGTGTGCTCTTGGGTGCCGAGAGGCTTTTGACTCTAGGTAGTAGATGTACACTTTTTGGGTAATAAAAAGAACAAATGAGAATTTATATATTTTGACATGTGAGCGTTTTAAGAAACGTACTGAAAAATTTTTGTCTGTCAACCGAAGTTCGTGCCTCACAACACTACTACTACGGCCCACGTTGAAAACCATCTCTGGCTGCGGCACTACACAATTCTCTACAACTTTCTTTTTTTCAATAGTATTCAAACCAGAGACACTAAAACTGAAAGCAACTCTGCTCTGCAGATTTGAGTACATAACTTACTTGAGAATAGTTTTCGCAGACGAACAATCCTCAAATCGAATGCTGTAACCGACTTCTTGTCCAAGCGCAACGTCCATTTCCTCGGAAACACGTTGAGCTACGGACATTGCAGCTACTCTTCTTGGTTGAGTACAGCAGACACCTTTCTTTCCTACCGACCTTGCATAATCCACACACCACTGCGGTATTTGGGTTGTCTTTCCTGAACCAGTTTCTCCGACTAACACAATACACTGATTCTCATGAAGCAGTCTAGTGAAATCGGCCTTATACTCGAATACTGGCAACAATATACGTTTGCTGTAGAGGTTATGGTAACGTTGAGTAAAGGGTAATCCAGTCAAAGGATTAATCGATGAATTGACTTTTGGTAGGACATTTGTAGTTGTCAGGGACATTCCACGTTCTTCCCTATTAGGTTATTTTTTGTAATTAAAATGCAATACAAGAGAAAATGTCTTACCTTTTCTTTTTAATAAAAGGATCTATGATATCTATTCGGCGTTTAGACATGATTAACTAATTGAAAATAATTCTGCTAATTGCTTGCAATTGGTTACACATATAAGATAAACTAATATTTGATTTAATTACAATCAAATATAACCATAACGACCACGTTATTGACGAATAATAGACGGAAATTGTTCAAGTCAAAATCATACATAAATGGGCATTTGACATCTTACAACTGCTTGTTGTGCCGGCATTATTATGACAGTGGCGTGCCCCCGATGAAAAATAAGAGGGGGTTTACAAACTGTTAGACCCAGAGACTTGTTATAACTAGACCGCGCGTAACGTAGATTTTACTATAAACGCCTGTTGTCAATATAGGATAGGCAACCAACTGTTCATTGCGGGGCAGACGTACGTTCTGCAGCTTGCTTTAGCCATGTTTATTCTAAATTTTAGTAGCAAAAAGAGATAACATACAGCTGTTAACTGTTTTAATCGAATTTATTGGTATTTTATTTGAAGTAAATTGATATATAACTGTCTTACTCTAGTCCTAGTTTGATTTATATGTGTATTTTGGTGGTGAACACGTATGGGAAAATATACTCTTAAAACTAAAGTTGTAAGTAGTAAGATATGATTATTTAGCGGATTTTGATTCAATATATTCCTATCCAAAAACCCAAATGGGCTGTAACTGTTATTTATTTTTCTTAGACTGCTGATAACCATTTTGTTTACAACGCGGTGTGGTGTGGATTGAATGAAAAACCTGAACACATTTTCAGCAATTTGGCAAATTTTTAATGCATCGCTTGATACGTGCAACAATCCTCCACGATTTTTTCTAGTTAAAAGCTTTGAATGACTCTCTGATGCGAATATCGCATCTGCACATATGGAACATTTTTAACAGACTTACCTATTTTTCTTGTAACAAAACCTGAAATATACTTAGTACCAGTAAGTACTTAGTTACGTCTATACCTAATAGACAAATAGGTACTGCCGTTGTCTTGCTGGTAAAGGATGTCGAATAATAGTTCTACGTTATTTTAAATGAATGGGAAAGTCGAAAACGTTCGGTATTGCATTATTGTTTAACACCTTCGTAGGTACCTTTCTAAAATCGGCTTCATTCCCCGCAAAATGCATTATGGTGGGAGTAACTTTTTCTCTTCGAATGGCTCTGATCCATTGGCCCTTTAAACTTTTATCCGTTGAAAATCAGCGTATTATTTAAAAATTTATCGACAGAGTACATGTTGATAGGCACAAGTTAACCTAAGTTTATTGGTTTATTCTCAACAGAAATTTATCTGTTCACTAATTCGAGCTAATCACGAGAATGATTAATGAACGGAACATCTAAAATAACAGCTTATTTCATTATATTGCATATCATCTCAGCGATTTTTGCCCCGCGGTGCATTGTGTGTTGCATACTGTGTCGACAACACCTTAGATACGTTAAGCGCAGTCTAGTTATAGCAAGTCTCTGGTTAGACCCCAGAGCTGTACAGTGTACATACCTTAGACCATATAGTACATGGACTGCTAATTGTAACGAAAATATGGTCAAGGACATCGCCTGGCTATGTGAGTTTCAGGGTAAACGAGTCTGTCCGAAGTTGTGCGATTAGACACGATTTGAGACTCAACCTATAAATTAACAAACGTCAATTAATTAATCGCCTAGATATGCCAAAAAAGCAAACCTATCCGTATTTGTGAACGTATAGAAGATAATCAAGAGTATTTAAAGCTTCCCGTACTACGCGGTTCCCATAAAAGCTAGTCTTTACGCGATCCGAGTGGTGTTCATACGACTTTAGTTTACCCTGACATTCACATACCCACGACTACAGTGCCCTCTATCCGTGACCACCCATTTTGTATTGAAAGCATAGGGATAATAGCAGTCCATGTATATGGTCTAAACAATAACCTAACAGATTTCGTAATTAAATTGGACGGCGGTAGTTTTAAAAATATGACAGCTGTCAATTGTATCTACTACTCATTTGAACTACTCAATAGATTGAGTCGGCGGTGTTGCCTACATTTGCAACAATATTTGTTGCAAGAATGAAAATTTGTACAGTAATTAAGTATACAATGAAGTATCTAGCTATCACTGGTCTACCACCCACGCAAGATGCATAAAAAATTATTCGATTGAACTTATTTCTACAAAGATGAAATTTTTGTTGGAAAAAGTTGATGTCATAAGAAACCAAAAAAAAAATAGTCTACCGATCGCGTGGTGTTGCTAAGGTCTCGGTAGACACGCTGGAAGCTACGATTTCCCGAGCGCAGCTGGTGCACTGCTCTGCTAAAAGTACCTCTAAATTATTTTTTTCACTACTAGCGTCTGATGACATGATTATTAACCTTTTTTCCACTTGTAAAGTAGGCTTTCTCGGCATTTGTTCAAAGTGGTTAATAATGTAGACATTATTAACTACTGTCAATAATGAGAACTGTCACTTTTAGAAAACACAACCCGAAATTTCGCTCAATAAACGTTTGGACAAGTTCTACCTATAAAATGAATAATTGCCACCAGCCGCCATTTCCAGAGAAATTACATTCCTAAAATTATCACATTTTGAAAAAATTCCAACGAAATTACTCTTTGAAAAATCTCAATGACAGAAGAAAATACGGCCTGTTTGACTTGTACTTCCACGTACTTGATTGACATGTTAAATTAATAAACAAAAAATTCTGTCCAACCGTTCACTTTCTTATCAATATAATGTTAATTTCCCAGAACAAAAAACTTAGAAGGGAAACGTAAACGGGAACAACTGAGTACAAATATAATTGGTTTGGAGAACATTCAATAGATGGCGCATAGTTAGCGTTCGTGTCATAGATATATAAATACATAGATACAGCCATACCCCAACATAGTTCAAAAGGACGTACCATCTATTACCATCACTTTCGGCACATTAATTACGTATAGCGCTATCCTTTATAGAGGTACCCTGAGCATGGAAGACAAGATTCGCATTATTTATTATAACTGTCAATCAAATTGTTAGCACAAATCACACAGAAAATTATCAGATTTGAGACTTTACAACATAAATAAACCGCCTTTTTATTTATTTAAATCGCATAGCAGCAAGAAATGTTACATTTAAAATGGAAGATGTTACTTATAAAGCTGGCAAATGAAGAATTTGAAAAAATTACAGCTGACAACTGGAAGAAAGTGTGTGAACATGTGGAAAGTGATTAATTTAAAAGAGAAGTTATATTTGGTTGATGTTGCTGAACTTGATAATACCTAAGTGTTAATAATGACAGTGATGATTCGAATTTGTCAATTTCATCTGACGATGATTCGGATTGTGAGCTTTTACAAACGTAATGAATGTTCACTAAATGAGTATTATCACCAATTGGATATCATTGTTAAGGTGTTGTATTTATTTTAAATAAATGTACACGTGTAGCTTACTTACTACAATTAGCACTATAATTTCAAAAAGAAACCCCACCGAATGGACATATGCCGAAAGGTAGGCAAGACGCGTAGCGACCAAAATTTGATATTGCACGCACACACAGTCTAAAAACTCGTTTCCCTAAGAATATTGGACGGATCCTTCTTTGTGATCATGATACAAACGCACTGCATCAACATCATATAGGCCAAAATGATAATTGGAAACGAATTCACTTCCTGTCGCAACAATTTCCTTTACCATTACGCCTAAAACCATGCAATTAAAATTAAAATGTTGAACATAAACTTTACTTACTTACGGTTTTTTTGATATTCTGCAAGCCAGCAATGAATTCACTGCAGCACATCATGCCAAACAGGGTAAACATTATCCCAAATTTGAATGGCGTAGTTCGATGTAATAAAACTATTTCAGGAATAACAATTATGGACGCGTCTATCATTATGGCAAGCACTAATGTTATTCGTATTCAATTGATAACGCAATAATTACATAATATTTAGTGAAAAAACCGCCCATCATGTTTAGGGCGAATATTTTTAGTTAGATTGGATTTCGCGCTATCGTGAAATGTGTCAACTGTCACATGACTTATGGGACGCGCTAAGTTTGTTTTAAGCGTCCGATTCGCGTACGACATAGTGGTTAATGCAATAAAAAGAGATAGAACATGTTTCATCTTGGTTAGAAAGTAATGGAGAGATGTACAAATTTCTTTGATATGTTTTTTAAAAACCGAGGTACGTTTGTTAAGGATGGCTGTATCTAGGTATTTATATATCTATGGTTCGTGTTAAAGTCACTAGATATAGAAAGTACCGCAATCATCCGCCATTTTTGGGCAAATTTGTTGCCAACTTAAAAAAATTGACAAATAAAATCTGAATAGGTGTCATTTTTTATAACCTAAATTCATAGTACTGTCATGTTTTATAAAAATATATACAGATATCTCCTAACAGGTGGAACAATCCCTAATATTAAAGTTACTAGAATCTGGTAACTTCCGCCATTTTTGGGCAAAAATCATGCGTTCTCTCTCCAACACGCGAGCCCAATGGATTGCGGTACTTTCTATATTTAGTGACTTTAGTTCGTGTGAAAGTTACGAAATCTAGTGACTTTAGTGCGTGTGCACCATTATGACAATTGAATTTTGAATTTTGATTGACGGCTTATTGTGCTTTAAGTATAATTATTATTCATTATTACAATGAATTATGCATATACAAATCGAAAACGTAAATGTTGTGTGACAAATTGTGAAGACGTTTCCCAAAAATGGAGCTCGAAGTTTTTATAGAATTGGTTTAGAATATAATGTGGAAGAAATTTACACAAAAGTTTTTGGTTTGTGAACGTCATTTTTCTGGTTGCGCTTTAGAACCTGGAACACGAAGAGGTTTAAAGCGTGTGGCAGTTCGCACATTATCTTTAGCAGGTAACACTAATTGAATTGTAATAAATTGCTACATATTTTGTTTTTAGAGCGATCTCGAGAGCATCATACAGTAGAGTTCCATGAAGTTGATCTTGTATAATCAAATCATATATACAGCTTACGACAATACATACATTTTTGAGAGTTGGCAACCATGCAATTTCTAGGTGGGAAAAAAAGTTGCCTGCGCCACCTAGAAAGCACGAACGGGAGTTACGTTTGGCATCTTGTCTTGAATGGCGGTCGTGAACGTTTCGCTCCATAAATGTTTGTTGTTATTTTGTGTTATTTAATGCAGGTAGTAATTTTTGCAT